TCTCTCTCAGTCTGACCAAGTCTCTGCTGCTGACCCACCTCTCACCACCTTTCCTTCATAACCCATCCCCGAGACACTGTCTGCCTGTCTGTTTATAATTATGCCCCCCACCCCCCTCCATCTTCTCATTAATAATTCAGTCTTACTCTGTTCCAATTAAATAATTAACAGCGCCCAGAGCCATCAGATTGTAACGCAGCAAAGACACTCTGCACTGGTCCTCAAATGATCTTCAAAGAGTCCCTTATATCCTGCTACAAACAGAGCTAAACTATCTAAATACATTATCCAGTCTCACTGAGTCTGAGTACTCATGGAGAGAAAATGAAATTGAAATGAAAATGAAATCTTTAATTTGAAAGCATATAGAAATGAGACAAGAACAAAAGGAAGAGTTTTGTGAATTGTCTAATAACTGACCTTGTGCTGTGACAACTGCAGACTCATTTCTGATCAGGCAACTTTTCATTTCCCATACCATTTTTCCTTTTCCAATACAATACAATATTGAGTTACTTTTTAACAAGGATATACTCCTAAGCCTGTATGATTGCTATCATTGATGGCCTGGCTCAGGTTGTCAGAGTCAGATTAGGACTGGTCATGATTGAACTATCCTGTGAATGAGCAGCTGTAAGTGTAAGTATCCACGTGTTTTAGCTACGTTGGTGTTTTGTGAACATGACTTACTATTTTCTGGGCTAATGAGAGTTTGTTATATAATATTGCATTGGGTAGACTTAAGCCAATAAACCACTTTCACACTAACTAACTAACTAACTAACGAGTGTAGCGAACATGTAAGACTGTTTGTAATGTCGGTTTAATGCCGTTAGAGAGATATTTAAAAAGCTAACGTAATATGAGAACTACTGTAAATAGACTAATGCTAATGCAGCGGGACTGCAAAGTTGGTAAGACAGCATTGTTTTTATTACGGTATCTTATTAATATTTTATTATATTTTCAATTAGGAAAGTATACCAATATTGTCAACTCAACCATGCATAAAGTAAGTAGCGTGGTATACAGTGCAGCAGAACAACACGAGTTCTTTGCCTCTGCCTCATTCACTAATTTCCAGGATACCTTGTTATTAATTTCTGGCTTCACATGAGTAGAGTAACTGTTGTATTTGAAGAGATGTTGATGGTGAACAGTACAAGATGTGGGAAGTCAGACCGTTGAAGAGACAACACACACCTTCCTCTCTTCATCTCTCCGGCAGCCTGGCTGCATATGATGTAGCAATTAGTATTTGTTACACTGGATAAACAAAACGACCTTGTAATTTGTTTCCTAACCCCCTTCACCTACACACACACAGACACACA